CTGGTGAACCCCCGCATCCTGCAGGACAGCACCACTCACCAAGTTCGTAGAGAACGAGGGGAGGTAAAGACCAGACAGGGTGCCAGAGGGGGCCGCCGGACACGGGAGGATAGTGGAGAAGTGAGCAAGGACAGGGCCCCCAGAGGGGTCTGCCAGAGAGACTGCAACTGGCCGACCAAGCGGCGTGAGTGTGGTGCGGTCTCGAAAGAAGGAGCGGGAAGCCCCCGAGTCAAGGGTGAAGGTGTGAGAGGCCGGAGCCGACGCGGTACCTGAGAGAGCAGACTCACCCTCACCTGAGGAAGCAGACTCACTAGCACCTAGAGCAGCAGCCGCACCTGTACCTGGAGCAGGAGACACACTAGCACCCAGAGCAGCAGCCGCACCAGCAGCTAGAGCAGCAGGCTCAATATCCGGGTCAGGCGATACGCACAAGTGACCGGCACGGTCAGCACTAGTAGGCAATGCATACATGGCAGTGAGAATAGCATCATAGTCAAGAGCAAATATATCTACCCTCTGCCTAAGCAACTCCACCCAGTCGGGGAGCTCAGCCTCGTCGCCAAAATCGGTACGTCAGGCGTCGCTCAGACGGGCGAAGCAGCGGGACGGTGTGTGACTAGGCGTCCCACAAGGCTGACCAGTCCGAGCACCAGTGCGAATCACGTAAGAGCAGCGAACAGAACTGAGAGACCCTCTACTCTGAGCGTACCACTTACGAAGCTGCTGGGGCGTGAGAGACGCGCGTGGGCGTCGCTGGAGCTGCATCTGGCCGCCGCCAGTAGTAGTAGGAGTAGTAGCGGCGCCACCCCTACAACCCCAACCAGCGTACCACTCACGCAGCTGCTGGGGCGTGAGGGACTCACGCTGACGTCGCTGGGGCTGCATCTCGCTCCGCCAGTAGAAGCAGGAGCAGGAGTAGCAGCAGTAAAGCAGGCAGCCAAGAAAGCGGCAGGCAGCGCGCTAGTAAGGCAGGGGCTCACCAGTGGTGGGAAGAGCAGGCTCGACGACTCGGCGACTCGGGGGCATGGCGGCACTGCAGCAACTGCGGCTCGGCGGCTCGGGCGACTCGGGCGGCTCGGCGGCTCGGGCGACTCGGGCGACTCGGCGGCTCGGCGGTACGGCTGCTCAGCAGCAACTGCAGCTCGGCGGCTCGGCGACCCGGCGGCTCGGGCGGCTGAGGTGGCGCTGCGGCTCGGGCGGCTCGGGCGGCTCGGGTGGCTCGGCACTAGCTCGGCGGCGCCGGCGGCTCGGTGGTGACAGCGGGGCCGCTTGGGGACGGCGGCGGGGCCGGGTGGAGCGGCGACGGGGCCAGCAGAGGCGGCCCCGGGGCCGCAGGGTAGGCGACCGGGCCAGCAGAGGCGGCGCCGGGGCCGGGAAGGGCGGTGTCGGGGCCGGCAGAGGTGGCGCCGGGGCCGGGAAGGGCAGCGCCGGGGCCGCAGGGGTAGGCGACGGGGCCAGCAGAGGCGGGGCCGGGTCGGGAAGAGCGGTGTCGGGGTCGCCGGGGTAGGCGACGGGGCCAGCCGAGTTGGCGCCGGGGCCGGGAAGGGCGGAGCCGGGGCCGCAGGGGCAGGCGACGGGGCCAGCAGAGGCGGGGCCGGGTCGGGAAGGTCGGCGTCGGGGTCGCCGGGGTAGGCGACGGGGCCAGCCGAGGTGGCGCCGGGGCCAGGAAGGGCGGCGCTGAGGCCTCAGGGGTAGGTGACGGGGCCACTAGGGCGGCGGATCGGAGGCGCGAGGGCGGCGCGACGCGACCGCTAGGGCGGCGCGACGGGGTAGCGGGGCCGCGCGCCTCGGGGCGCGCGCCAGAAAGAAAATCGCCGCGCGCCGGTCGCACGCCGCGGGGCGTGCGACAGATCGAGTAGCAGCGGAAGCAGTAGTAGGGCCTTAAGAACAGTTCCCACGAGGGAACCTGCTCGATACCATGAGAAATCTGAAACGAGAATGATTCAACTATGAAAGAGTTGGGTACAAGTACTAACCCTTATTGGGTTGTACCCCATATGGGCTACCCCACTACAGCCTACACAAATGTATAAGCTATATGTTCTGACAAGAATCTCTCATATCTTCAGCGAGCACTCCAATTCTCATCTCCACGCCCAATGTCGGGCTCTGCTACTCCACCATCCCAACCGCATCCTTCAATCTCATCGGCTGCGTGGACGCTGATCATGCCGCCGATCCCGACGATCGACGGTCTAGGACAGGATTCCTCTTTCGCCTCGAGCCCAGTGGCCCCATCTCCTGGAATTCACAGAAGCAGGTTCTGGTTGCCTTGTCATCAGCAGAAGCGGAATTCATCGCAGCAACAGCAGCTGTTCGCTACGGCCTTTACCTTCAAGAACTGCTGCAGGAGGCGAAAATTCCGGCCTCGGCAAACTTCCGCCTGCACTGCGACAATCAGAGCGCGATCAGAATCGCGAACAAATCTGGTTTCTGTTAGAATCCCAACCACTAGACCATTGGGATAAAAGGGCTTGTTTTAGTAGCGGGTCATTGCGCCCATAACCCCCCAAGCCAACGTGCCTGTAACCCTTCCCTAGGATCAATCAGGGATCACCAGTGGACCTCTGACACCCCCCCGCACTGGGATGCCCGAAGTGCATACACCGGGATTCGAACCCGAGACCTTCGCTCTGATACCATGTCAGAATCCCAACCACTAGACCATTGGGATAAAAGGGCTTGTTTTAGTAGCGGGTCAGTGCGCCCATAACCCCCCAGGCCAACGTGCCTGTAACCCTTCCCTAGGATCAATCGGGGATCACCAGTGGACCTCTGACAGTTTCGTCAACCGCACCAAGCACATCGCGTTGCGGTACTTCATCGTCAAGGACGAAGTTGACAAGGGCAAGGTTAACCTAACCTACTGCCTGACGGGTGACATGGCAGCAGAATTCCTCACGAAGAAACTCATGCGTCAGCAGTACCAACACTGCTCTGAACTCACCGGAGTAGTCAAGCAGGTCAAGACCTGCTACGACCAGGAGTGAAGGGGGGTGTTACGAATAGTGATTATTGAAACATCACTGTGCACTCCTCACCGCAGCAAGCGAAGCACGTACTACCAAGGTTGAAGTCGAAAGGGCGGAAGCAATATGAAAGGTCGCACAGTTACGAAAGCATCTGGACCGTCGGGGAGACAGCATCAGGCAGCAGCAGTGGCAAGGATTCTGTCCGAACAGTTTCGTAACCACCCAGAGTCGCACGGTTGGATTTCGTTGTAATAAGGGAATGTAACCCTTAGAGTACATGGCTAGCTAGGTCGATTCGAATTCCCCTGTACTCTTGTTAATATTCCTTGTACTTGCATGTAGGGATGAGCATATTGCCGAACGGGATTTTTTTTTTTGTCAAAAAATGTTCGGCCCGAACATGTTAGTGTTTGCGCGAACATGTTCGGTGTTCGCCGACCGCAATGTGCCGAGCCGCGTCGAACACGAACATGTTCGTGTTCGACCCGTACATCGACGAACACCTCAGGTGTTCGTCGACGAAAAGGCCGCGACCTAATTTAGGATCGCGGCCCATTCTATTGTGGCTCATTTTGTAGAGCGTAGCCACCATGTCGTTCCCACCAGCCCGCCCAGCCCACTACCACATACCACACCCACACCAGTTAGAACTAGCCTAGTGCCTAAATTTGTTCAACTATGGCGTTTAGGCTTTTGGGTGATTTCCATGCTTAGCAATAGAATGTAGCACCTAAACCAAACTCGTACGTTGTAGTAGCGGGATTCCATTAGGGTTTCCGCCGTTGAAGGGGTTTCCACCGTTAGGTTTAGGATCAAAGGGTCACGTCACTCCCCTCCCCACACCTCGCTGCCGCGGTACTGTTCTATCAAGGGTTTAGGGTTGCTTCGGCGGTCGTGGAAATGTCCTCCCACCAACAAGTTAGTGCAGGGTGGTCGCGGTGGAAGTCAGGCCGGTGCTCCATCGTCTGCACCACGTCCTATGCAGGGTCGAGTAGATGACGGCCCTGGAGGAGTGGGTGCTTGTTTCATCGGTGGGCTTCTGTCCATACCCATCGGTCCTTCCGTTAATGGCGTTCTTGACCCCATACTTCTGGGCAGGCGCGCACCACCACTCAGACTGACAGTGTGGCAAACGAGGATGAGGGGGAGGAGGAAGAAGGGGAGGGAGAGGAGGAAGAGGAGAACGAGGAGTGGAGCGGTGGTGATAGTGAGCCGAGGTGGACACCTGAGACGCATGGCAGTGCTGGGGACGAGGGAGGAGATGAAGACGAGTAGATGGAAGGGTTGGAGCTTGGTTAGTTGTGCCAGGTCACTGGATCGACGAGTCGTTTCAGCTACGCGAGGCAGTGCTCGAGTTTCGCGAGCTGCCGGGTCGGCATGGCGCAGCACAGATCGCGTAGGTCGTGGAGGACACAGTGGTGATGTGGGGGTTGGAGGGGCGTTGTCTGGGCCTCACCACAGACAACGCCTTAGCCAACATTGCCACGTACAGGCAACTGTCGGAGGAGGGTGGTGGTCGGGCTTTCTTCAACTCCCGCCTGCACTTCAGGTATTAGTGTGTGTGTGTGGTGTGGGGGTGATATTGGGGTGGCAGGTCAGGAACGGCGTTGTGGGGTGTGTGGATGTTTTCGGGGGTATCGTAATCTCCCACGCCACGGCAACCAAAGACCATGTGTCACAACCTCCCAAATCCCTTGCCTGTGGTGCTATGGTTTGCCGGTGTGTGTCACATGTGGTCAACTTGGTAGTGCAGGCAGGACTGAAGGTGGATGCCATTCGCCCCTTGTTGAAGGTGCTCAGAGATATGGCGTCCTGGGTTGGGTACTTGCCGCAGCGCTCGGCTGCGTTTCTGGGGCTTCAGCGCGGCCTGAACCAGCAGGCCCGTGTCAAGAAACCAGCCTTGAAGTTGGTGCAATACAGTCCAACCCGCTGGGGCTCGAATCATGCCATGATCAAGCGCTTTCTTGAGCTGGAGAACCCGATCACTGTATTCTTGGCCTCGACCCAGGTATAGGACGGGGACGGGACATGGGATCAGTGCCGGATGTGGCTGGCATGTGTGCGGCATGTCTATGGCATGTGTGTGGCACGTGTATGGCATATGTGTGGCATGTGTATGGCATGTGGGTGGCATGTGTATGGCATGTGGGTGGCATGTGTATGGCGTGTGTGCGGCATGTGGATGGCATGTGTGCGGCATGTGGGTGGCATGTGTGCGGCATGTGTGTGGCAAGTGTATGGCATGTGGGTGGCATGTGTATGGCATATGGGTGGCATGTGGGTGGCATGTGGGTGGCATGTGTGCGGCATGTGGGTGGCATGTGTGCGGCACGTGTGCTGGATGTGTGTGGCATGGGCGTTGGTTGCATGACGTGCGATACATATTGATAAAAGCCCTCACACTCATATGCCTCACAAAACCCAAGCCCTGACAGGGCATGGCGAAGGCGGACAAGGAGAAGGTGGAGAAGATGCGCCTTACAGATGAGCAGTGGGGGATGTTGAGGGAGCTGAAGGGTTTTCTCAGCCCCTTCAACTAGGTCTCCAAGGCAGCCGAGGGGACGGCGTACCCGACTCTGTCGATGGTGGTGCCATACTACAACGGCCTCCTCGACGCCATGGAGGCTAGACTGGCAAAGGGGCCCTCGGCGCTGCTGAAGCCTCTGGTCAAAAAGGCGCTGAAGATCTTGAAGAAGTACGTGTACATCAGCAGCTACGAGGGTTGGATCGCCACCTTCGTGGATCCTTCCATGAAGGCGGCGTGGTTCGACGACCCCCACTGGGAGACGCAGCATCCAGAGACAGAGCGCAGGGATAGGCCGCGCCCACCGTCAAGCGTGGTGATCGCGCTAGTACGAGATCGGGTGGCCGAGTACCAGGCAGCGGCGAGGGAGCTGGCTCCCAGGCCCACTACACTTCCCACGGTTGTAGAGGATGAGGGAGAGAGGGGGGAGGAGGACGAGGACGACCTGTATCTCCCTAGTCGCCGACGCCTTGCCGCGCGTCTGTCTGTGAGCCAAGCGGCGGGGGGGGTGGTCTTGTGCAGGATGATGAGGTCAGCAGGTACTTGTCCGAGAGGGTGCGGTACGACGTGTCAGCGTTAGAGTACTGGCGCACCTCCACAAACATGGAGATTCTGAAGAGGATGGCGACGGATTATCTCGCGATCCTGGCCACGTCTGCTGCGAGCGGGTGCGTGTTCTCCTTGGGCCGGAACCTCATTTCATGGAAGCGTCACCGCCTGAACTCCAAGAGGGCGCGATCCAGCATGATTCTCAGATCGTGGTATGGATCGCACCCTGGCCAGAGGATCGGTGAGGGCCGCCGCACAAAAGGGGTCGCAGCTTTGGAGCTCGCTATTGAGGGCGAGGGTGCGGAGGAGGAGGAGGAGGAGGAGGAGGAGGAGGAGGAGGAGGAGGAGGAGGAGGAGGAGGAGGAGGAGGAGGAGGAGGAGGAGGAGGAGGAGGAGGAGGAGGGGGAGGAGGAGGAGGAGGAGGAGGAGGAGGAGGAGGAGGAGGAGGAGGAGGAGGAGGAGGAGGAGGAGGAAGAGGACAAGGAGGTGGAGGTAGAGGAGGAAGTGGAGGAGGAGGAGGAGGAGGAGGAGGAGGAGGAGGAGGAGGAGGAGGAGGAGGAGGAGGGGGAGGAGGAGGAGGAGGAGGAGGAGGAGGAGGAGGAGGAGGAGGAGGAGGAGGAGGTGGAGGCGGAGGAGGTGGAGGGGGAGGCAGCGGAGGAGGTGGAGGAGGACGCGGCGGAGGGGAGAGGGGCGGACGCAGCAGCAGGGGGTGGCGAGGATGGTGGTGTTGGTAGCGGGGCTGGGACTGGGCTGTAGTTTTCATGCAGCCCTTACAGCCCGCGCCTGGCCCGCACGCGGCCCGTGTTACTGCTGCACTCGCTGCTGCTGCTACGCTGCTGCGCCTGAACTGCTGCTGCAATGCTGCTGCCGCTTGTACTGCCCTGCTACTGCTGCAACTACTTGCTGCAGCTGCTCCTCCTTGCTGCTGCTGCTGCTACTTGCTGCAGCTGCTCCTTCTTGCTGCTGCTACTTGCTGCAGCTGCTCCTCCTTGCTACTGCTGCTGCTGATACTGAGCGCTGGCTGCTGCTGCTGCTTGTCGCTGCTGCTCCGCCACTGAGTCTGAACCGCGCCGCCTAACCCGAGCTGTCACTGCTGCTGCTGCTGCAACTACTGCTGCTACAACTAGTGCTACTGCTGCAGCTGCTACTACTGCACTTGCTACAGCTTCTATTGCTGCCACTGCTACTGCTGCTATGGCTAAGCTATTGGTTCTTATGTTCGATGCTGAGGGCCGCGCGATTACCTTTGATGTCTGGCTCGACGATCTCCAGCTGTTCCTGTAGAGCAAGTCTAAGGATGGTATTTCCCTGTTTTTGCACACTGAGGGAAAGCTCCCACCCCCTGCTGCCGACGCTGTAGAGGATCTGTCTGAATGGCTCATGCGTGATGTAGCTGCCCGCCTTGCTGTCCGCAACCACTTGCCAGTCACTAAGCGCGCGCACTTTAGCCAGCAGAAAACGGCCAAGGATCTCTATGACGCTGTAGTTTCTCGCTACTCCTCCCCAGCTACTACTGTTGTAGGTCGTCTCATGCTGCCGTACCTGCATCCCGATCTAGCTGAGTTCCACACTGTCTTTGACCTCTTCACCCAACTCCGCTCTAGTGAGGAGGTGCTTCCGTGCCGCTCTCAAGCCGGAATTTCTCGCTAAGACCCCCCCCCCCCCCTCCCGCAGTACTTCACCCTGTACTTTCTTATCACTCGCCTCCCTAACTCCCTTCGCATTGTCAGGGACCAGTTCCTAGCCATGGACCCCACTGAGCTCATACTTGACTCGCTTGAGAAGACCCTTCTTGAGGTTGAGAAGAGCACTGTCGATGTCGCTGCCTCTCGTGGCACCCCCCGCTCCCCCTTCTTTGAAGGGTGTACTCCCTCCCTACTCCTCCCCTCAGTTGCGACCGCTGCTGCAGTCGAACTCCTTGGTGCTGAGGACGTTGGTGCTGCGTCTGCTTCCAGTGGACGGCGCAACAACAGCAAGGGCAGATGGGGCAGGGGTGGTGGTGGTGGCAGCAACGGATGGGGTGGTGGAGGCTCTGGGGGTGGCTCTGGGGGTGGCGGCAGTGGAGGAGGCGGACAGGGTGGAGGAGGCGGCGGTGGTGGGAGAGGCGGTTGGGGTAGCGGGGGAGGCGGAGGAGGTCGGGGTGGGTCTGGCAGAGGTGGAGGCGCTCGTGGACCCTCCCGTGGCTACGGGAGTGGTCAGCAGCTGCCGCGCCTCCTGGACAACCCCACCAACCAGCAGCTCCGTGAGTGGGTTCTCCAGCGTGGGGGCTCTGGTCGCTGCCCTTATGTCCGGCGCACGGGGCCTCTGAAGGGCACAGTCTGCGAGAAGCCGCACAGTGAGTACAAGTGCTTTGGCCGTCTTGAGGACGCTTGGGTGACTAAGTACACCGAGGACCAGCAGGTCCCAAACTGGCTGCAGCTGATAGGGAAAGGGGTGGATGTGTTTGCTCTTGACTTTGCTAAGATCAATGCTGCTCTCTATGCTATGTATGTTGCTGATTATAGTGTTGAGGGTGCGTGTTACTCGTGTGTGCCATGCGATGCTGGTGGTGATGCTGCTCCCCCAGGTGCTAGTGAGTCTGCTGCCGCCCTAGGTGCTAGTGTCACTACTGCCCCAGGTGCTAGTGAGTCGGCTGCTACTGCTGAGGTCTTGCACACTTTCAGACTTGACTCTAGTGCATCCCGTTGCTTCTTTCGCGAGTGCACAACTGTCACCCCACTCACTACACCAGTCCCAGTCTCACTGGCGGACCCCTCTAGGGGCTCGGTGGTTGCACGCCACTCCACTGTCCTCCCGTGCCTAGCTGTCCCCTCTGGCTCTCTGACCGGTCTCCACCTCCCCTCGTTCTCGACAAACCTGGTAAGCAACGCTGTCCTTCAGGATGTATGGGTTGACACCTTTACTCCTGGAGGTCAGTGTGTGGCGATCTGCACATGCACCAAGACAGGCCGTCACCTGTACACAGCGTCTCCACAGGTAGCTGCGTCTGGTCAGGTGGTTGCGTCCGGTCAGCTCGCTGCGTCCTGCTTGTGTCGCCTCCTCACCCACCCTGCGCAACTTTGGCACCACCGTCTTGGCCACCCGTCGCAACTGTGTCTGCGCGGTATGCACTCCCGGCTCCTGGTCTCTGGCCTCCCTACGACCCTGGCCCCCCTCCCGCGCTCGCTTGCGCCGCCGTGCCTTCCTTGCGTCGAGGGGCGGCAGCGCGCCGCTCCTCACTCCTCCGAGTTTCCTCCGACCACTGCTCCTCTGCATACTCTCCACCTGGACGTGTGGGGCCCGGCCCCCGTCGGTGGAACGGACCAGGAGTGCTACTTCCTGCTGGTGGTTGACGACTACACACGCTACACCACAGTCTTCCCCTTGCGGCGCAAGGCGGATGTCAATGGTGTCTTGATCCCTTGGATCCGTGCTACTCGTCACCAGCTGCGCGAGCGGTTTCGGCGGGACTTTCCAGTCCTGCGTCTGCACTCTGACAGAGGTGGTGAGTTCTCCTCTGGCGTCCTTGAGACGTTTTGCTAGGATGAGGGCATCGCCCAGTCGTTCACGCTTCCGGAAACTCCGCAGCAAAATGGGATCGCTGAGCGTCGCACTGGCCAGATCATGGAGGTTGCTCGTTCCTCCATGATCCATGCGGCTGCTCCACATTTCCTGTAGCCGTTTGCGGTCCGATACGCCGCGCATCAGCTCAATCTCTGGCCCCGTGTCTCTGCTCCAAAAACCTCGCCCACACTCCGTTGGACGGGACAGCCTGGTGATGCGTCGTAGTTTCGGGTCTGGGGCGCGCTCTCTCTTGTTCGCGATACCAAAGCGAGCAAGCTCTCCCCTTGCACTCTCCACTGTATCTTCCTGGGCTTCCCCACCGACGCTCCACCCTGGCAGTTCTGTCCTCTCAGGACGTCACCTTCGACGAGTCGGTCTGTTACTACCGACTTCACCCGCACGCGTCCCACCCAGTCCCCCTCGCACCTCTCTTCCTGGCACCAGTCCCCCCCCCCCCCCCGTAGACCCCCTTCCCCCACACGGTCCTGCTCCCTTAGGTGTGTCTCAGGTAGACCCACCCCCTGTGGATGAGCCAGTTGAGATCTCTTCTGACTCCTCTGACTCACCTGAGGGGGGTGACGCTGTCGCCGACGACACGGCGACCACTCGCCGCACTCCTCGCTTGGAGACCCCCCCGGGTTTCCCGCCACGGCCGTCTTCGCCCGCCTCCGCAGCCTGCTGCTGTGGACTCTGGAGCTGAGACTACTGGAGCTAGGGCTGGGGGTGGTGAGTCTGGGGGTGCCCGCTCTCCTCGTCTGGCTACTCCCCCCGGGTTCCCACCTCTGCCGTCTTCGCCGCCTCTGCAGCCTGCTGTTGTAGACACTGGAGCAGAGACTGAGGGTACTGAGCCTGGGGGTGCTGGGACTGAGGGTACTGAGCCTGGGGGTGCTGGGAGTGAGGGTGCTGAGCCTGGAGGTGCTGGGAGTGAGGGTGCTGAGCTTGGGGGTGCTGGGACTGAGGGTACTAAGCCTGGGGGTGCTGGGACTGAGGGTACTGAGACTGAGAGTTCTGACTCTGGGGGTGCTGCGAGTCCTTCTAGTGTTGGTGTCGTCGGAGCTCCTACCGGAGGACCTGGAGCTGCTGGTGCTGGAGGTGCTCGAGTTGCTAGGGGTACTGGAGCTGCTGGTGCTGCTGGTGCTGGAGGTGCTAGAGGTACTACAGCTGCTGGTGCTGGAGGTCCTGGAGATGCTGCTGGTGCTGGAGGCCGTGGAGCTGCTGGTGCTGGTGGTACTGGAGGTGCTGCTGGTCATGGAGGTCGGAGAGCTGCTGGTACTAGGGGAACTGGGGGAGCTGCTACTACTGGAGCTAGAGGTGCTGGAGGAGCTGGAGGTTCAGGAGGTGCTACTGGTGCTAGAGGACGTGTAGCTGCTAGGGCTGGAGGTGCTGGAGGTACTGGAGGTCCTGGTGGAGCTACTGGTGCTCTTCGCCACCTCCTCAGTCTTCAGCCAGGTGCTACTGGCTTCCCTGTGGCAGGTACTACTCTTCCGTTGCTGTATCCACCGGCGGATCAGTCACTGCCGCCACTGCTACCGCACTCCCCACTGCCTGCTCGTGCTCCTTATACTGCGGTGTCAAAGTCACTGACTGAGCGTCGAGAGCCTGAGACTCGTGCTTACACCCCTGAGCGTCGAGAGCCTGAGTCTAGCTTTGACCTTGAGCCTGAGCCTAGAGCTGCTGTCCGTGCTCGTGTTCCTTGTGTTCGTCGTCCGCGTGCTCCAGCTGTCCCTGGCACTCACGATATGACACTCCGTCCTTCCTCTATTCCTCAGCGTGATGTCCTACCGTTACCTCATGCGTCCTCTCTGTCTGACGTTGCCGACACTCCGTCTGACCTTGCTTGTGCGTCCAGTCCGACTGTTACTCGCCTTCTTGCTACAGTTGTGACGGACCCTACGTTCTCTTCTCCAGCTGCGTCTGCCCTAGTGGCTGAGCTCGTTGACTTTGCTGCTGTGTACCGCCTCGACTGCCTTGCGAGTCTTGTCTCTGACCCTGTCCCTGCCTGTCCTCCGTCCGTCGAGGGTGAGACTGCCCTTCGCTGTACTGCCCTTGGCTGTGACGTTCTTGAGGATAGACAGGAGGAGCTTGAGTGCCTTGCGGCTGCTTCACCCCATCACGCGACCATGCTGCTTGCCCCTGAGGGAGACCCGGATGCACTTGACATCCCCACCCGCGCTCCTATAGGGAGGCGATTTCGGGTGAGTACTCCTCTCAATGGCAGACAGCTATGGACGCAGAGATGGCTTCTTGGAAGTCCACCGGCACCTACGTCGATGAGGTTCCCCCACCTGGGGCGAACATCGTCAGTGGCATGTGGATTTTCAGGGTGAAGCAGCCGCCGGGTTCTCCACCTGCCTTCAAGGCACGTTACGTTGCTCGAGGCTTCAGTCAGCGTGCGGGGGTCGACTTCTTTCAGACCTTCTCCCCCACCCCAAAGATGACCACTCTTCGGGTGTTGCTACACGTTGTAGCTCAGCGTGACTACGAGCTGCACTCCCTCGACTTCTCGACAACTTTCTTGTATGGTAGTCTTCACGAGGCCATCTGGTTGCGCCGTCCGTAGGGCTTCATTGGGTCGTTTCCTCCTGGTACCCAGTGGAGCCTACGCCGACCAGTGTACGGCCTACGTCAGGCGCCCCGTGAGTGGCACGACACACTGAGGACGACACTTGCGGCTCTTGGGTTTTCTCCTTCGACTGCGGACCCGTCGCTGTTTCTACGCACCGACAGTACTCTGCCGCCGTTCTACATCCTCGTGTACGTCGACGACTTGGTTTTTGCTACTGCTGACATTGAGGCACTGGCCTTAGTGAAGGCGGAGCTGTAGGAGAGACCCACTTGCACTGACCTGGGTGAGCTGCGGAGCTATCTTGGCTTGCAGATCACCCGAGACAGAGCACGGCGCACCATCACCCTGACTGGGTCACACATGGTGCACCAGGTCCTTAAGCGCTTCGGCTTCCAGTTCTCCTAGCCACAGCCCACTCCTCTGTCTACCGGCCACTCGCTCTCAGCTCCACCTTTGGATGAGTCCGTAGAGCCGAGTGGTCCGTACCCAGAGATTGTGGGTTGCCTCATGTACTTGATGACGTGCATACGACCTGACCTCGCGTACCCTCTCAGCCTTCTGGCTTGCTGCGTAGCTCCTGGTAGACACCGAAAGGTGCACTGGGATGCTGCGAAGAGGGTACTGCGTTACTTGTGCAGTACTTCCGGCATGGGGCTCGTGCTTGGAGGAGGGAGCTTAGTGGTACCTACCGGACACTCTGACACTTCTTGGGCCAACGACCAGGCGACTCAGCGTTCGTCATAGGGTTACACCTTTAGTCTTGGCTCTGGTTCTGTCTCGTGGAGGTCCACTCGTTCTTCGTCTGTGCTTGGCTCCAGCTGCGAGGCCGAGATCTACGCTGGGGCCATGGCTGCACAGGAGCTACGCTGGGTGACCTACCTGCTGACCGACTTGGGGGAGCGGCCTCGTTCTCCTCCAGTTCTGTACGTCGACAACAAGGCAATGGTTGCCTTGTGTCGTGAGCAGAGACTGCAGCACAAAATGAAGCACATTGCTCTTCGCTACTTCCTTGCGCGTGAGCTGCAGCAGCGTGGTCAGCTGCGCATTGCTTACGTGGCCTCTCGGGCCAACACTGCTGATGTCTTCACCAAGGCCCTTGGGTCTGGTGATCATCAGCGTTTCTGCACTGCTCTTAGGCTTGTGCCCACGGTGCCTCACCTGCTGGTTGCTTGACTTGCTCTTGTTGTACACTGCTATATATATTTATACCTGCGTGTTTACTCATGCTAGGTTGTGATCAGTGTACTGCATTGCTATTTATAAATCTGCATGTGAACTGGCCTTGTGGCTGCCTGCTTGTGCTGAGATTGTGTGGATTCCTTGAGATCCACCCTGGGCTTTGTTTTGCTTGTTCTCTTTCTTGACTGGTCTTGTGACCACTGTTCGATTTGGCTATCCCCTACTTCACCTATGGGGGTGTGTCAAAACATATTGTTTGTTCATGTTACTTTAGGTTATGTAGGGGTCACACCTTAGAGGGTACAACCCAACTCTCTCGACATCCTTGTACTCCCTCCCTCTTACCTAATTCACAGTTCTTCCTAGCTAATCTCGACACTCTTGAGTTCATTTTTCAGTTTCTGTATTATCTAACCCTGTAGTACGCATTGTTAAAGGGATCGGCTGCGGCAATATCAAGATTGACATGGTTAGAGTATCACTCATACCGTACAATGAAAATCTTACCAGATATAGCATTGTCGTGTAGAAAATTGGGACCTCGGAAGTAGAGGTTTGCTTAGGTGTGACTGCGCCAATTTTAAAGTGACGCTAAGCAGCCTTGGATTGCGCAGTACTTGGGCTGATCCTGGTCTTCCAAACGTTGGGGTTGTACGAGCTGTAACATTAAATTAGCACAGAATCTAGTCAACATCCCAAGAAGTGTTTTGGCTTTTTCAGTTATTGCTTTAAGCTGGGTTGACTTCAAGGACACGATTCCGCAATTATTGTTGCCTCAGCCAGATCCTGTCAGATGTGCCGCCTTTTCAGAGCCAGTCCATGTCAGGCGCTCACGGCTGGATGTCAAATGAGATGTGGGGCGGAAATGCTCAACCAGTTACCGTCACATATGCTCCACCGTCCGATAAGGAGGGTCACATTGCTGCCTAATTTGATGTCGCCCTCGATTTTTCGCCACATTATTGCGCTCGTCTTCCCTCACGAAATTACACCCTAGCGATAAGGTTTGCTCTTCGGTCTCCGCGTTAACCGCTAGCATTCGCCTGTTTTCATCCATCCAAAAACATGCCATCCGTGAAAGGACAACTTTTCGCAACCGTGACACCCGCTCCCTCTGGGAGGACATTCCCCAAACAGTCTTGAATCTGTGCGATTATTCCGCTGCTCGTCGGAGTCACATCGGGAACCCTTGATCGAACGGTGATGGTGCTGGCTCAGCTGTACGACTCGAGCATCGCGTTCCCAATTCCCCATCCATTCCACCTCACACAGCCTCGTCACCAACACGCGTTCCATCGCGTTCCTCATTCGACCCGGCTGGCCAATCCGGAACGGGTTGACCATCTCAGCCCAACAAGTACTTCTGCTGCTCCTATGCTTTTGCTTTTGCGATCCTTCTCCTCAGCCATCATTTAGTTAGCTAATACAATCGCTAAACAAACTTCCCACCAGTTAGTTTCACCGTCTTGTGCCACCATCTCTTCCCGCCACTGATCGTCATGGGTTCGACTTCTGCTGATTACCATCAGGTGGCGTCCGCGCCATGCCAAGACCATCGCCGGAACCAAACGTGCTGCTGCCACTCGAGGAAACGAAAAGCCTATTCAAATGGTCTTGACGGCGAGTTCGACACTTCCAGTAGTCCGCTGAAAAGGGGCCGCGGCACGGCGCGCGCCTCGCACACTGCGGTATCCCATTACGTATTTCCAGGGGCGAGTCAACATATGAATGAGTTTTATGAAATCGACGATAGAATTCTGGGGACGGGGAAATTCGGAACCGTGCGAAGATGCACGTGCCGATCAACGGGGATGCAATACGCCTGCAAGTCCATATCCAAGGCGACGCTAATCGAAGCGGATGATATAGAGGACGTGCGTCGTGAGGTGCGCCTTCTGCAGAAAGCAATGTGTCATCCAGGCGTGATGCGGCTGCACGCGGTGTTCGAAGACGACAGCGACGTGTATCTGGTTACAGAACTCTGCGACGGCGGCGATCTCTTCGACGAAATCGCGAGACGCGGGCGATTCAGCGAGCGCGACGCGGCGCAGGTGTTCATGCAAGTGACGTCGGCCGTCGCATTCTGCCATTCCCGCGGCGTGATGCATCGTGACATCAAACCCGAAAACATCCTCCTCTCCACCTCCCCGCTCCTACCCGAAAGAACACCGTCGGACCCGGCGGAAAAACCGGCGCAATCGCAACCCTCGATCGCCAAACACCAGCACCGCTCATACCACTCCGTGAAACTCGCGGACTTCGGTCTCGCGGTCCCCTTGGATCGCGGCGAGTGGACGACGGGCCCCGCGGGGTCGCCGTACTACATGGCGCCCGAGGTGATTTCCGGCCAATACGGCCTCTCCGCCGACGTCTGGTCCCTCGGCGTCGTGCTTCACATTCTTCTCACCGGCTCTCCGCCTTTCTGGGGCCCGGATGATCAAGGGATCCTAGACAGCGTGGTGAATGGGCGGGTGGATTTGGGAGAAAATTCGGCGGCGTGGGCGGGCGGGCGCGTCTCGGCGGAGGCGCGCGGACTGATTCGGTGCATGCTGGAGAGGGACCCGCGGCGACGGCCTTCCGCCAACAAGGTGCTCTCGCACCCCTGGCTGCTGCTGCACGCGTTCGGAGGGCGCATCGTGCGGAAGGTGAAGGGCTGCGCACACGCGGAGGAGGGAAAACATGCGCCAGCGACGGCGGGTGTGATTGTATCGAATGTTGGCGCAGTTGAAGGCATGTAAAGCGCGAGGTCTCCGCTCGCGACGCTCCTTCGCAGGAATCGTCCTGCAGAAAAACGGGCATGCGCGGGCAGCGTCGAGCGCGGGATATGCCGTCGAGGCGGAATGGCGCTCAAGGCGCAGCTTGCGGTGGCGACCATCTCTCGGCGGAGCGCAAGACCGGGCTCTGCTGATCTCCGACGAGCAGCGAAGGGCGTTCGCGACAGGAAAGGGCCTACTCTTGTGCGTGGCCTCGAACCGTTGGATCTTAGGAAGCAGCAGCTGTCAAGGGTGTCGCGGGAAGGGCGCTACTTCCTCACATTCGAGCGAATCACTTCAGGGGTGGCTGGCGAGGCGAAGTGTGGCTGAACAAGCATCAACAGATTTAGATAAAATTGTATATTCGTATCAGTGTATCTCTTTAGTGTAGGTGGACTGCTTGAACATAACGTAGGATCCAACATAACACGTATAATTATTTTGAAATTTAGTGCACAGCTTATTTCTTGAGAATAAATTACAATGGTAACAGACAGCAAATGCTGCAAGTAGCAGTAAGACTTCTTAAATGCAGGGAATTTAAGCTAAAAAGGAAGAGATGGGGGTAATCTAGGATGAACTGTGGCAAGTCTGGCCAGTGAAGCTTGCAACCACGATATCGGGGACAGCCGTGGTGGAACAGATGAAGATGGGCCCTACATGCCTCAAACGAAGCTGCTCCACCTGTTTGCCCTGATGCTTATGCTGATAACGCACAGCAGGCTGCTCACTGCGCTCATAATCTAAACACGGGCACGCCAACCGCCTTTCCGATCCCACTGCTCTCCCCACCCCGACCCCCACCCCCGCCTGCCAAGAGCGGCTCTGTCCCGGCTGTTTGCGGAGACGGCTTCCTCTCCCCCCTGCTGCCACCTGTCATCCCCTCACTGGCTGCTGCTGCTCCCCTTTGCACCACCGCATCACCCACAGGATGTGCTGCAGAGGAGGCGGAGAGAGGAACGTTCTGGGAAACGTCCTCGGGGCCGTCGACAACAACTGAGACGAGCTCACATGAGTGGTACGGCGAGGCTTCACTGGACCGGTCGCGGCTTGCGGGTGGAATGGCATGGGGTGTGTGGGTGCTGGCGTCAGCATCAGCAGCCACACGGCCTGAGCTGGCAGCACTGAAGGCAGCAGCGCCACTGCTGGCGGCACTGCGAGCGGCGGCAAAGGCAGCAGAAGCCGCAGCTGCAGCAGCAGAGGTCACTGCAGACACGGCAGCCGCAGCAGCTGAAGCTGAACTCCCAGGCCCGTCCGACACACTCCTGGGACGGAGGTGTGCAGGAGGGCTTGTGCCCGCCACCGCTTCCAACCCATCCGAACCCATTCGCACAGCAGGAGAGGCCTGCGCACTGCTGGAAAATGGATGCCGCTTCACCGGCACAAGACGAGTTTGTGCGTGCCGGTCGGCATGCTTTGACTTCTTCCCGCCACCCTCTTCATCCCCGTCCTTATCATCATCATCGGAGGAGGAAGAGGAGTTGTCACCACCTGCACCACCCTCCTCCTCATCGCCATCCAGCATGGTGAAGGCGGACTGCAGCGAGGGATGCAGGTAGGCGCGTGCGAGGAAGGAGTGCGGGTCCTCGTTGGGGTGCACAGTGCGGTCTATTGTGTCCTTGCGATTCGCCTCCTGTGTTGTGGGGGATTGCAGGGAGGTATGCAGGTAGGCAGGCAGGCAGGCAGGCGGGAGGCAGGGAAGCAGGCAGGGAGGCAGGGAGTGGATGGTGGAAATGAGGGCCTTGTGTTGCAGTGAATGGGGTGATGATGGTGTCGTTGCAATGAGTGCCAGGAAGGAGTGCAGCACGGGTCCTCATTGGGGTGCACCGTGCGGTCTATCGTGTCCCTCCTGTTCGCCTCCTGGCAGCGTGGGGAGTAAGCACACAAAGAGCAGCGGGGCAGGCAGGCAGGTAGGCAAAGAGGTATGGAGGCAGGCAAGGAAGTAGGGAGGCAGGGAGTGGATGGTAGAAACGAGGGCGTTGCAGCAAGTGGGAGTGGCAACGACCAGTGAGGGTCCTCGTTGGGATTCACACTACAGTCTATCGTGTCCTTCCAGTTCGCCTCCTCTGGTGTGGGAGGTTGGGGAAACAAACCCAGGCAGCGAGGCAGGGAGGCAGGGAGGCAGGGAGGCAGGGAGTGGATGGTGGATGGTGGATGGTGTTGCAGTGTATCGTGTGACGATGGTGTCCTTGCAATGAGTGCGAGTGGCAGCGAGGATGAATAGGGGTAGAGGGTTTGAACGGCGGATTTGCTGTGCTTCTACACAATCACCAGCTTTGTGGCCTGCACTGCACCCAATGCACAGGGGGCTACCTGTACCGACCCACAGGACGGCGCGCTCCAAGGGCGAGCTTGGAGACGGTGCTGGAGAAGTGCCCGCGGGCTAAACAACAGCCCAGTCCAGTGCACGGCATGGCAGCATTGAGGCGCCTCACCAGTGCTCTCCCACCTCTGCTGTCATGCAGCAGACAAACGCACCTCACAAGCGAGCTTGGAGCGGACGCACCTCGAGGGCGAGCTTGGAGAAGGTGCTGGAGAATTGGCCACGGATGAACGCCCAGTGCACTATGAGCGTGACAAGTAGCGACAGCTCTGCGGTGCCTCAGAAGTGGTCCCACACACCACTGTAGCGCAGGGGATGGACGCACCTCGAGGGCGAGCTTGGAGAAGGTGCTGTGGAACTGGCCGCGGATGAACGCCCAGTGCACGATGATGGTGACAAACGGCAGCGGGATGAGGCAGCACGCCTGCGTGGGCGCGTCCTTGAGCGAGAGGATGCCGCCCAGTGTCACCTGCTGCACCAGCATGGCCGCCACCAGCCGCGCGTGGAAGTGTGGCCAGAACGCCCCCGCCATCTCGTACCGTGGACAGTACACGTTGATTATCTGCCGGGGGGGCAGGGGAAGGGGGGGGGGAGAGGGGAGGGGGCGCACGGGTAGGTTCTTGCCACGTCATGGTACGTGGCATAGATGCTGGTTGAGTGGATGGCACGACCCACAACATGCCAAACGGAGGAGGAAAGAGGGGAAGTGCGGTGACGTGAGCCTGACCTCCTAGGCAGGGGCATAGTAGCTCCAGGCAGGGGCATAGTAGCTCCAGGCAGGGGCATAGTAGCTCCAGGCAGGGGCATAGTAGTTCCAGGCAGGGGCATAGTAGCTCCAGGCAGGGGCATAGTAGCTCCAGGCAGGGGCATAGTAGCTCCAGGCAGGGGCATAGTAGCTCCAGGCAGGGGCATAGTAGCTCCAGGCAGGGGCATAGTAGCTCCAGGCAGGGGCATAGTAGCTCCAGGCAGGGGCATAGTAGCTCCAGGCAGGGGCATAGTAGCTCCAGGCAGGGGCATAGTAGCTCCAGGCAGGGGCATAGTAGCTCCAGGCAGGGGCATAGTAGCTCCAGGCAGGGCGATAGTAGCTCCAGGCAGGGGCATAGTAGCTCCAGGCAGGGGCATAGTAGCTCCAGGCAGGGGCATAGTAGCTCCAGGCAGGGGCATAGTAGCTCCAGGCAGGGGCATAGTAGCTCCAGGCAGGGGCATAGTAGCTCCAGGCAGGGGCATAGTAGCTCCAGGCAGGGGCATAGTAGCTCCAGGCAGGGGCATAGTAGCTCCAGGCAGGGGCATAGTAGCTCCAGGCAGGGGCATAGTAGCTCCAGGCAGGGGCATAGTAGCTCCAGGCAGGGGCATAGTAGCTCCAGGCAGGGGCATAGTAGCTCCAGGCAGGGGCATAGTAGCTCCAGGCAGGGGCATAGTAGCTCCAGGCAGGGGCATAGTAGCTCCAGGCAGGGGGCATAGTAGCTCCAGGCAGGGGCATAGTAGCTCCAGGCAGGGGCATAGTAGCTCCAGGCAGGGGCATAGTAGCTCCAGGCAGGGGCATAGTAGCTCCAGGCAGGGGCATAGTAGCTCCAGGCAGGGGCATAGTAGCTCCAGGCAGGGGCATAGTAGCTCCAGGCAGGGGCATAGTAGCTCCAGGCAGGGGCATAGTAGCTCCAGGCAGGGGCATAGTAGCTCCAGGCAGGGGCATAGTAGCTCCAGGCAGGGGCATAGTAGCTCCAGGCAGGGGCATAGTAGCTCCAGGGAGCATGATAGTGGCTCCAGGCAGGGGCATAGTAGCTCCAGGCAGGGGCATAGTAGCTCCAGGCAGGGGCATAGTAGCTCCAGGCAGGGGCATAGTAGCTCCAGGCAGGGGCATAGTAGCTCCAGGCAGGGGCATAGTAGCTCCAGGCAGGGGCATAGTAGCTCCAGGCAGGGGCATAGTAGCTCCAGGCAGGGGCATAGTAGCTCCAGGCAGGGGCATAGTAGCTCCAGGCAGGGGCATAGTAGCTCCAGGCAGGGGCATAGTAGCTCCAGGCAGGGGCATAGTAGCTCCAGGCAGGGGCATAGTAGCTCCAGGCAGGGGCATAGTAGCTCCAGGCAGGGGCATAGTAGCTCCAGGCAGGGGCATAGTAGCTCCAGGCAGGGGCATAGTAGCTCCAGGCAGGGGCATAGTAGCTCCAGGCAGGGGCATAGTAGCTCCAGGCAGGGGCATAGTAGCTCCAGGCAGGGGCATAGTAGCTCCAGGCAGGGGCATAGTAGCTCCAGGCAGGGGCATAGTAGCTCCAGGCAGGGGCATAGTAGCTCCAGGCAGGGGCATAGTAGCTCCAGGCAGGGGCATAGTAGCTCCAGGCAGGGGCATAGTAGCTCCAGGCAGGGGCATAGTAGCTCCAGGCAGGGGCATAGTAGCTCCAGGCAGGGGCATAGTAGCTCCAGGCAGGGGCATAGTAGCTCCAGGCAGGGGCATAGTAGCTCCAGGCAGGGGCATAGTAGCTCCAGGCAGGGGCATAGTAGCTCCAGGCAGGGGCATAGTAGCTCCAGGCAGGGGCATAGTAGCTCCAGGCAGGGGCATAGTAGCTCCAGGCAGGGGCATAGTAGCTCCAGGCAGGGGCATAGTAGCTCCAGGCAGGGGCATAGTAGCTCCAGGCAGGGGCCATAGTAGCTCCAGGCAGGGGCATAGTAGCTCCAGGCAGGGGCATAGTAGCTCCAGGCAGGGGCATAGTAGCTCCAGGCAGGGGCATAGTAGCTCCAGGCAGGGGCATAGTAGCTCCAGGCAGGGGCATAGTAGCTCCAGGCAGGGGCATAGTAGCTCCAGGCAGGGGCATAGTAGCTCCAGGCAGGGGCATAGTAGCTCCAGGCAGGGGCATAGTAGCTCCAGGCAGGGGCATAGTAGCTCCAGGCAGGGGCATAGTAGCTCCAGGCAGGGGCATAGTAGCTCCAGGCAGGGGCATAGTAGCTCCAGGCAGGGGCATAGTAGCTCCAGGCAGGGGCATAGTAGCTCCAGGCAGGGGCATAGTAGCTCCAGGCAGGGGCATAGTAGCTCCAGGCAGGGGCATAGTAGCTCCAGGCAGGGGCATAGTAGCTCCAGGCAGGGGCATAGTAGCTCCAGGCAGGGGCATAGTAGCTCCAGGCAGGGGCATAGTAGCTCCAGGCAGGGGCATAGTAGCTCCAGGCAGGGGCATAGTAGCTCCAGGCAGGGGCATAGTAGCTCCAGGCAGGGGCATAGTAGCTCCAGGCAGGGGCATAGTAGCTCCAGGCAGGGGCATAGTAGCTCCAGGCAGGGGCATAGTAGCTCCAGGCAGGGGCATAGTAGCTCCAGGCAGGGGCATAGTAGCTCCAGGCAGGGGCATAGTAGCTCCAGGCAGGGGCATAGTAGCTCCAGGCAGGGGCATAGTAGCTCCAGGCAGGGGCATAGTAGCTCCAGGCAGGGGCATAGTAGCTCCAGGCAGGGGCATAGTAGCTCCAGGCAGGGGCATAGTAGCTCCAGGCAGGGGCATAGTAGCTCCAGGCAGGGGCATAGTAGCTCCAGGCAGGGGCATAGTAGCTCCAGGCAGGGGCATAGTAGCTCCAGGCAGGGGCATAGTAGCTCCAGGCAGGGGCATAGTAGCTCCAGGCAGGGGCATAGTAGCTCCAGGCAGGGGCATAGTAGCTCCAGGCAGGGGCATAGTAGCTCCAGGCAGGGGCATAGTAGCTCCAGGCAGGGGCATAGTAGCTCCAGGCAGGGGCATAGTAGCTCCAGGCAGGGGCATAGTAGCTCCAGGCAGGGGCATAGTAGCTCCAGGCAGGGGCATAGTAGCCCATAGTAGCTCCAGGCAGGGGCATAGTAGCTCCAGGCAGGGGCATAGTAGCTCCAGGCAGGGCATAGTAGCTCCAGGCAGGGGCATAGTAGCTCCAGGCAGGGGCATAGTAGCTCCAGGCAGGGGCATAGTAGCTCCAGGCAGGGGCATAGTAGCTCCAGGCAGGGGCATAGTAGCTCCAGGCAGGGGCATAGTAGCTCCAGGCAGGGGCATAGTAGCTCCAGGCAGGGGCATAGTAGCTCCAGCCCACGCAGCCCCTCACAGCAGCAGATGGGCTTGTGAGATTGAGGTGCATAGCAGCAGAGAGTGACCCTCTCGCTGTAGATGATATAAGAGGACCTGGTGGCTTCGAAAGACCAATTAATGCCAACCGGGTTGCAGAAGGTGACAGAACTGGTTGACTTGGTTGCGGTCAGTAACAATGATGGGTGACCTGGTGGTAGATGACAAAAGCGGCCGGCCTGGTTGTGGTAGATGACAAAAAAGGCCGACCTGGTTGCAATAGATGACAAAAATGGCAGACCTGGTTGCGGTAAATGACGAAGGCGAGGATGTAGAATGCGAGGGCGAAGGGCAGGTAGAGCGGGTTGGTGACACAGTAGACGAAGGGCAGCAGGAAGTAGAGCTCCACCTGTTGTGGGGGGGAAGGTGAGGGGGTACAAGGGGGGATGGCGTGTGGAGAGGAGGGTGGGGTGATGCATCTACAGAGAGGACTTGTTTGAAGCATGGGTGGGAACAGAAGGGCAGCGGTGCAGAGGAGAAGGGGCAGTGAGGGAGCAGAGGAGAAGGGGTAGTGGCATCTGCGAGAGGGGAAGGGGAGGTGGTAACTGCGGGGAAGGGGAGGTGGTACCTACGGGAAAGGTAACGTGGTACCAGTGGGGAAGGGGAGGTGGTACCTGCGGGAGAGGAAGGGGAGGTGGTACCTGCGGGAGAGGAAGGGGAGGTGGTACCTGCGGGAGAGGAAGGGGAGGTGGTACCTGCGAGAGCGTGTCGACGAGTCGGAGGGGGCGTGCCTTCATGGCCTTTATCCTGTCGGCTGGCGTGCGCACCAGCAGCGAACTCTGCCGCACCAAGCCAAGGAAAGGTTGGGGAGGATCGGGAAGTGGGGGAGGGGGGGGGGGCGGCAAGATTCAAACTAGAGAAGACAGTGCCGAATGAGAAGGGGTGTGCGGCGTGCTCTCATGGCCTTTATCCTGTCGGCTGGCGTGCGCACCAGCAGGGAACTCTGGCAGCCATCGCACCCATGGGCGATTCACAGCGACGCAGGGTGAGCGGGGCGGAATGGGGAATAAGGAAGCTGGGAGCGCAGCGCAGTGTGGGATGCTGCTAGAAACGACGACGAGAATAGAGAAACCAGAGAACGGCACTAGAAGTGGGGTAAGAGGAAGGGGGATATGAGATTGAAAAGAGTAGGGCCGGAAGTGAAGGGGAACAGGGAAGGGGGAAAGACAAGTGGGGGAATGCAAGGGGGGAAAGAAACGAAAAGGGTGAGAGAAGGAGGAATGGATGCAATATAAGAGGAACACTGACAAAGTGGGGTTGGGGGGGGAGGATTGCACCTTGAGTTGGAAGAGCAGCAGGTACCAGACCTGCAGCGCCTCTCCCCCCATGCCCACCCACCCGTCCACCATGGTGAAGGTCATGAAGAACGTGGCCTTCATGGGGATGCGCGCCCCCAGGATCTGCGGTATGCTGTGCCCCGTGCGGGTCGTGGCAGGTTGGTGGAGGGGGGGGGAGGAAGGAAGTGAGGGTGCCACTCCTGCCACTCATGCCATTCCTGCCACTCATGCCATTCCTGCCACTCCTGCCACTCCTGCTGCACATGCCGGACCTGCCACTCCTGGGTGACCCAGCATTTGTGTCACCACTCCTCTCAGTGAACCCTAAACCCCGACAAGACAAGGAGTGAGGTTCATGTCACGTTCAATCAACTTGCCTCCACACACCACCTTCCACACGGCTCGGGCCAGGTCGAAGAGGTTCGTCCAGGCTATACCCAAGTTGAACTCTCTGTTCGGCCCTACCTGATGGAGGGACGTGGGGGGGAGGCACCTGATGGAGGGAGGGCTTACCTAGTGGTGTGCTCGGAAAGGTCGTAGGTAGCGGACATGAGCGCGCCCCCCATGACGTTGGTGACGAAGACGGTGCCGATGATGAACCAGAAGTACTTGCCGGTGGCCGCCAGGTCGATCTGTGACAGGCTCACGTGGCCCTCCAGGGACGCCAGGAAGATGAGGAGATAGGGCAGTATCGCCATGAAGAGCTTGAGGGCGAGGCCCGAGAGGATGTCAGTGATGAGTGCGTTCACCACGGGGCTGGGGAGCAGAGGGGCAAGGGGAGGGCAGGCAGAGGAGGATGAGGAGACGTGCAAGGAGGCATGCGGCATGTGAGAATTGGTGACATGTGGGGTAGTGGGCGGAGGGCGAGGGCACGGACATGCTGAGGATGGGCTGCAGCCACGGCATGTAGCGGCTGATGTTGTCCAGATTCGCCAGCGACTGCACGAAGCCCACTGGGATGGTGTAGAAGAAGACGACCGACGCCGCCGCCAGCAGCACGAGCACGCGGCGCACAGCCAGCTGCTCGTAGGGGATGGGCAGGTTGCTCCACTTGACGTCGCGCTGCTCCGGCGCCCAGTGTGTGATCCAGTGCGAGCTGTTCTTTGATTGCAGGGTTTGAGCGGCGACGGCTGCGCCCCAGCGCGAGGAGAAGGAGACGAAGGCCGCTGGCATGGTGCTGGCTGGGTCGCTGATCACGCGCTCCCGCTCCGCTATGATCTGATGGTTGGGGAAAGGGGGGAGGGGAACAGGTGAGGAGAGGATGGGAGAGGAAAGGAGAGGAGAGGAGAGAAGAGGATGGGAGAGGAAAGGAGAGTAGAGGAGAGGAGAGGGTTGGAGAGAAAACGAGAGGAGAGGAGAGGATGGGAGAGGAAAGTGTCGTAATCCCAGCCACAAGACCGCTGAGATGAAATGACTTGTGAAGCAGCAGGTCGGTGCACCCATAAACCACCAGGCTCGCAAGCCTATAACCCTTCCGTAGGATCAATGGGGCATTCCCAGCGCTGGCCTTTTGACACCCCCTCTCACAGGGATGGCCTAGGACACGGCACAGCGGCACCGCCAGCATGTGCACACATGGGGATTCGAACCCCAAACCTTCGCTCTGGTACCATGTTAATAACTGAACGAAAGAATTAATTACTAAAATGAGCAAGTACGAAGGTAGATATGGAAAACCTACCTCTAGCACTAACAAAGTTGTGCACCACCTAGACCAAACAATACAAATTATAACAAATATAGTTTAACAGAAAGGAGATGAGAGGAGAGGAAATAGAGGGAAGGTGGAAGGAGAAGGTGGCAGACACAACGGTGGTTCCGTAATGCGGCATTCTTCCCCTCTGTACACACAGTGGCCATTCGTCGTCTCACCTGTTGCCATGTAGTGGATGCCTTTCACATGCCTTCCCACCGCAGTGAAGCCCTCTCCCTTTGTCCGCCCTCCCTCCCCTCCCCTCACCTCCTGCTCCTTCCTTTCCCAGATTATACCTAAAGGAGCGTCAAAAACTGCCCTCTGCATGGCATGGAGTGACCTGCATGGCATGGAAACACTCATTCTCACCTCATGCACAAGGCACCCACTCACACGCACATACCACCCCCCCCCCCCCTCCCCCTCCCCCCCCCTCCCCGCCCCCCATCCCCTCCCCCCAAGCACATGCCAACCGGCCCCAATGCACGTGCAGCCCCAGCCCCAGCCCCAGCCCCTGCCCCAGCCCACGAACACGGCACGGCACACACCTCGTCACATATCTCTTCGAGCTTGTCCTGGTAGTGCTGCACCGCATCCACCTTCTCCCCCACCAGCCCCATGAACCCCATCTGATCGCCACTCATGCACACACACACATGCACACACATGCACACACACACACACACGCACATGCACACGCAAACGCACACGCACAGGAGAGAGATGTGCAGGAATGGGCAACGGAGGGAAGGAGTGCGGCAGGAAAGCAGCACGTGAGGAGGAGAGAGAGTCACCTCACTAGGCCCTACCCTCTTGAGCAACACGAGAGGAGGAGAAACCTTAGACACGTGCAGACATGCCGTGATGTGTAACTCTTCTTGTGTTGTAGGCAGGCACCCACCATCCGTGCATGAGCCACATCCTGCCCGAACCTCCTCCCCCCCCCACACACACTCACTCCCATCTGCTCTCCAACCCACACCCTGGCCCTCACTGCCCCCTGCTCTCACCCGGACGGTGAGCGGCTTATTGGGGAAGCGTTCGAGCTTGATGTGCAGCTCCGTGAGCTTGTTCTCCAGCTTGCCGCGCCTCTTCTCCAGCCGCGCCACCCGGTTCGCGTTGTACACTGGCTGCCGTGCCACGTTGGCGAGGGGGGGAAGAGTGTGGGATGTGATGTGCGTGAGAGAGTTAACAAGCGCCTAACTAAACAGACAAGCAAGGCTCTCATGCTACATCCACTCCTTCTCCAGCCGTGACACCCTGTTCGCATTGTACACTGATTGTCACGTGACCGGGAGGGCACGCATACACATGAAATCACGTGGCAGGGAGGGCATGTAGTGAGCAGGTAGTGGGCACCTGAGTGAGCAGGTAGTGGGCACCTGGGTGAGCAGGTAGTGGGCACCTGGGTGAGCAGGTAGTGGGCACCTGGGTGAGCAGGTAGTGGCCGCGGTGGTTGACGGAGAAGAAGTGGTCCACATGCTCCGGCACGGTCTTGATTGGGTGCTTCGGCACCTGCCGCACCAACACCTGTGGGCACGGGGAGAAGGAGGAAGCAATGGGTCCAAGCAGAGGTGAGATTGGAAATGAAATCGCGGGGAGATGAAATGGAAATAGAATGGAGAACGCACGAGAGGCATGAGAGCATGCAGGTGGGAAAATACACAGTGAGACAGGATTGACCATGCCATGGCGCACACATGCAGAGAGCGGGGAAGTGAAAGGCAGAGCGGGGAAGTGAAAGGCAGAGCGGGGAAGTGAAAGGCAGAGGGGAGAATGATTGGAATTTGAGGGAGAGTCAACTGCTGCGAAGCAACTGTCTGTGATGTGCCGTGATGCATCTCCCCAGTGATGTGCCGTGATGCATCTCCCCAGTGATGTGCCGTGATGCATCTCCCCAGTGATGTGCCGTGATGCATCTCCCCAGTGATGTGCCGTGATGCATCTCCCCAGTGATGTGCCGTGATGCATCTCCCCAGTGATGTGCCGTGATGCATCTCCCCAGTGATGTGCCGTGATGCATCTCCCCAGTGATGTGCCGTGATGCATCTCCCCAGTGATGTGCCGTGATGCATCTCCCCAGTGATGTGCCGTGATGCATCTCCCCAGTGCCCTCACTTTCTGTAAGCGCTCACAGTGAACTGGTTGGGCGCTCACAGTGAACTGGTTGGGCGCTCACAGTGAACTGGTTGGGCGCTCACAGTGAACTGGTTGGGCGCTCACAGTGAACTGGTTGGGCGCTCACAGTGAACTGGTTGGGCGCTCACAGTGAACTGGTTGGGCGCTCACAGTGAACTGGTTGGGCGCTCACAGTGAACTGGTTGGGCGCTCACAGTGAACTGGTTGGGCGCTCACAGTGAACTGGTTGGGCGCTCACAGTGAACTGGTTGGGCGCTCACAGTGAACTGGTTGGGCGCTCACAGTGAACTGGTTGGGCGCTCACAGTGAACTGGTTGGGCGCTCACAGTGAACTGGTTGGGCGCTCACAGTGAACTGGTTGGGCGCCCTCTGCTGATCGGCAAGGAAGTCGAGGCGCATGTCAGCGACGGTGCGGTGCTCGACACGCATCATGTAGAGCGCCCACGCGTTGAACAGCCACGCCATCGCCACGTGCACCCACAGCCTGCCGCCCATGCATGTGTGTGTGGTGTGGCAGTGCATGGGGCATGGAGAAAAACTGTCGGACATGGCATGCAAGCAACCATGTACTTGGCACGCCATGCAAATGCACACAGCAGCACAGGAGATTCCAAGGCACGCTTGGCAGTGAGTGCGGTGCTCCGGGCGCATCGGGTACAGCTCCCACGCCTTGAACAGCCATGCCATGCCATCGCCACGTGCACCCACAGCCTGCCCCACACGGATCCCATGAATGTGTCGCGTGGTGTGGTGTGGTGTGGTGTGGCGCAGTGCGGTGCATGGGGAATGGAGAATAGCTGTGAGCCATGTTATGCAAGCAACCATGGCCTCGGCACGCCATGCATGATAAGCACAACGGCAGACTGCAAGCACAACGGCAGACTGCAAGCACAACGGAAGGATCATCACACCAATCTGCTACATGCTGTAGCAGCGTGCAGGCTGGCAGTGGCGGCACTGGTGATGACACACAGGCGGCAGCAGGAGCATAAATGCACCAACAATTCACGCACAGGGGGGAGGGGGAGCATAAATGCATCAACAATTCACGCACAGGGGGGAGGGGGAGCATAAATGCATCAACAATTCACGCACAGGGGGGAGGGGGAGCATAAATGCATCAACAATTCACGCACAGGGGGGAGGGGGAGCATAAATGCATCAACAATTCACGCACAGGGGGGAGGGGGAGCATAAATGCATCAACAATTCACGCACAGGGGGGAGGGGGAGCATAAATGCATCGACAATTCATGCACAGGGGGGAGGGGGAGCATGCAAGCATGCATGCACGCACAGGGAGCAGGGGGAGCATGTAAGCAAGCAGCGAGCACGCACAGCGAGGACTGGTTGGGGATGTTGGCGATGGAGAGCTGGTCCACAGCGCTGTAGTAGAGGTCGGGGTCGCTCTGCGCCTGCTGCTGCAGCCACCCGCCCAGGTAGTTCACGGGCATGAGCACGGCCGCCGCCACTATCAGGATTGGCCCAAAAATCTTGAAGCTGTCGGGCGAGGGCGGGAGTGAGTTGGGAGAGCAGGGGAGGGGGGGCGTGAGAAAGGACAAGGGCTGGTGGGTACGTGGCAGAGAGGTCTCGGCGTGGGACGTGTTACCTGGTGCTGCCGTCCCAGGAGGGAGGGGAGAAGGGAGGGGGAGAGAGGAGGAGGGGTGGGCCGGGTGCAGAAGGGAGGATGAAACAAAGTGAGAGGCACGAGAGATGAAGGACGAAGCAAGGAGACATGTCGGGGGAAACGAGAACCAAGGGTGCACGCACCCCAGCTTGAGCGTGTGCCACCCACACGCACGCACCCCAGCTTGAGCGTGTGCCACCCACACGCACGCACCCCAGCTTGAGCGTGTGCCACCCACACGCACGCACCCCAGCTTGAGCGTGTACCACCCACACGCACGCACCCCAGCTTGAGCGTGTACCACCCACACGCACGCACCCCAGCTTGAGCGTGTGCAGGAAGACCACGTTGTCCAGCCCGGCATGGGCGATGAGCTCGCGCTCGGGCATGGCGAGGGCGACGGCGACCCAGGAGAAGGCGTGGCGGTAGGAGCGCAGGGAGAGGTTGAGCCACTGGCGGCGCTTCACCACGTTGCCCTTCATCTTCACCTTCTCGTACTTCTCCGCTGCTTCCTGTAGAGCGCCCACGCACAACGCGAGTGGGATGGGAGGGAGGGAGGGAGGGGGGGAGGGAGGGGTGGGTGGGTGGGATGAGAGGGATGGTGATGGCCCTGCAGTCAACCGCCCTCTCCTCTGCGATGCCCCCTCATGTGCTCCCTCATGCGCCCCCTCATGTGCCCCCTCATGTGCTCCCTCATGTGCCCCCTCATGTGCCCCCTCATGTGCCCCCTCATGTGCCCCCTCATGTGCTCCCTCATGCGCCCCCTCATGTGCCCCCTCATGTGCTCCCTCATGTGCCCCCTCATGTGCCCCCTCATGTGCCCCCTCATGTGCCCCCTCATGTGCCCCCTCATGTGCCCCCTCATGTGCCCCCTCATGTGCTCCCTCATGTGCCCCCTCATGTGCTCCCTCATGCGCCCCCTCATGTGCCCCCTCATGTGCCCCCTCATGTGCCCCCTCATGTGCCCCCTCATGTGCCCCCTCATGTGCCCCCTCATGTGCTCCCTCATGCGCCCCCTCATGTGCCCCCTCATGTGCTCCCTCATGTGCCCCCTCATGTGCCCCCTCATGTGCCCCCTCATGTGCTCCCTCATGCGCCCCCTCATGTGCCCCCTCATGTGCTCCCTCATGTGCCCCCTCATGTGCCCCCTCATGTGCCCCCTCATGTGCCCCCTCATGTGCTCCCTCATGTGCCCCCTCATGTGCCCCCTCATGTGCCCCCTCATGTGCCCCCTCATGTGCCCCCTCATGTGCCCCCTCATGTGCCCCCTCATGTGCCCCCTCATGTGCCCCCTCATGTGCCCCCTCATGCGCCCCCTCATGTGCTCCCTCATGCGCCCCCTCATGTGCCCCCTCATGTGCTCCCTCATGTGCCCCCTCATGTGCCCCCTCATGTGCCCCCTCATGTGCCCCCTCATGTGCTCCCTCATGCGCCCCCTCATGTGCCCCCTCATGTGCTCCCTCATGTGCCCCCTCATGTGCCCCCTCATGTGCTCCCTCATGTGCCCCCTCATGTGCCCCCTCATGTGCCCCCTCATGTGCCCCCTCATGCGCCCCCTCATGTGCCCCCTCATGTGCCCCCTCATGTGCTCCCTCATGTGCCCCCTCATGTGCCCCCTCATGTGCCCCCTCATGTGCTCCCTCATGTGCCCCCTCATGTGCCCCCTCATGTGCCCCCTCATGTGCCCCCTCATGTGCTCCCTCATGCGCCCCCTCATGTGCCCCCTCATGTGCTCCCTCATGTGCCCCCTCATGTGCCCCCTCATGTGCCCCCTCATGTGCCCCCTCATGTGCTCCCTCATGCGCCCCCTCATGTGCCCCCTCATGTGCTCCCTCATGTGCCCCCTCATGTGCCCCCTCATGTGCCCCCTCATGTGCCCCCTCATGTGCTCCCTCATGTGCCCCCTCATGTGCCCCCTCATGTGCCCCCTCATGTGCCCCCTCATGTGCTCCCTCATGCGCCCCCTCATGTGCCCCCTCATGTGCTCCCTCATGTGCTCCCTCATGTGCCCCCTCATGTGCCCCCTCATGTGCCCCCTCATGTGCCCCCTCATGTGCTCCCTCATGCGCCCCCTCATGTGCCCCCTCATGTGCCCCCTCATGTGCTCCCTCATGCGCCCCCTCATGTGCCCCCTCATGTGCTCCCTCATGTGCCCCCTCATGTGCCCCCTCATGTGCCCCCTCATGTGCCCCCTCATGTGCTCCCTCATGCGCCCCCTCATGTGCCCCCTCATGTGCTCCCTCATGTGCTCCCTCATGTGCCCCCTCATGTGCTCCCTCATGTGCCCCCTCATGTGCCCCCTCATGTGCCCCCTCATGTGCCCCCTCATGTGCCCCCTCATGTGCCCCCTCATGTGCCCCCTCATGTGCCCCCTCATGTGCCCCCTCATGTGCTCCCTCATGTGCCCCCTCATGTGCTCCCTCATGCGCCCCCTCATGTGCCCCCTCATGTGCCCCCTCATGTGCCCCCTCATGTGCCCCCTCATGTGCCCCCTCATGTGCCCCCTCATGTGCTCCCTCATGCGCCCCCTCATGTGCCCCCTCATGTGCTCCCTCATGTGCCCCCTCATGTGCCCCCTCATGTGCCCCCTCATGTGCTCCCTCATGCGCCCCCTCATGTGCCCCCTCATGTGCTCCCTCATGTGCCCCCTCATGTGCCCCCTCATGTGCCCCCTCATGTGCCCCCTCATGTGCTCCCTCATGTGCCCCCTCATGTGCCCCCTCATGTGCCCCCTCATGTGCCCCCTCATGTGCCCCCTCATGTGCCCCCTCATGTGCCCCCTCATGTGCCCCCTCATGTGCCCCCTCATGTGCCCCCTCATGCGCCCCCTCATGTGCTCCCTCATGCGCCCCCTCATGTGCCCCCTCATGTGCTCCCTCATGTGCCCCCTCATGTGCCCCCTCATGTGCCCCCTCATGTGCCCCCTCATGTGCTCCCTCATGCGCCCCCTCATGTGCCCCCTCATGTGCTCCCTCATGTGCCCCCTCATGTGCCCCCTCATGTGCTCCCTCATGTGCCCCCTCATGTGCCCCCTCATGTGCCCCCTCATGTGCCCCCTCATGCGCCCCCTCATGTGCCCCCTCATGTGCCCCCTCATGTGCTCCCTCATGTGCCCCCTCATGTGCCCCCTCATGTGCCCCCTCATGTGCTCCCTCATGTGCCCCCTCATGTGCCCCCTCATGTGCCCCCTCATGTGCCCCCTCATGTGCTCCCTCATGCGCCCCCTCATGTGCCCCCTCATGTGCTCCCTCATGTGCCCCCTCATGTGCCCCCTCATGTGCCCCCTCATGTGCCCCCTCATGTGCTCCCTCATGCGCCCCCTCATGTGCCCCCTCATGTGCTCCCTCATGTGCCCCCTCATGTGCCCCCTCATGTGCCCCCTCATGTGCCCCCTCATGTGCTCCCTCATGTGCCCCCTCATGTGCCCCCTCATGTGCCCCCTCATGTGCCCCCTCATGTGCTCCCTCATGCGCCCCCTCATGTGCCCCCTCATGTGCTCCCTCATGTGCTCCCTCATGTGCCCCCTCATGTGCCCCCTCATGTGCCCCCTCATGTGCCCCCTCATGTGCTCCCTCATGCGCCCCCTCATGTGCCCCCTCATGTGCCCCCTCATGTGCTCCCTCATGCGCCCCCTCATGTGCCCCCTCATGTGCTCCCTCATGTGCCCCCTCATGTGCCCCCTCATGTGCCCCCTCATGTGCCCCCTCATGTGCTCCCTCATGCGCCCCCTCATGTGCCCCCTCATGTGCTCCCTCATGTGCTCCCTCATGTGCCCCCTCATGTGCTCCCTCATGTGCCCCCTCATGTGCCCCCTCATGTGCCCCCTCATGTGCCCCCTCATGTGCCCCCTCATGCGCCCCCTCATGCGCCCCCTCATGTGCTCCCTCATGTGCCCCCTCATGTGCCCCCTCATGTGCCCCCTCATGTGCCCCCTCATGTGCCCCCTCATGTGCCCCCTCATGTGCCCCCTCATGTGCCCCTCATGCGCCCCCTCATGCGCCCCATCATGTGCTCCCTCATGTGCCCCCTCATGTGCCCCCTCATGTGCCCCCTCATGTGCCCCCTCATGTGCCCCCTCATGTGCCCCCTCATGTGCCCCCTCATGTGCCCCCTCATGTGCCCCCTCATGTGCCCCCTCATGTGCCCCCTCATGCGCCCCCTCATGCGCCCCCTCATGCGCCCCCTCATGTGCCCCCTCATGTGCCCCCTCATGTGCCCCCTCATGTGCCCCCTCATGTGCTCCCTCATGCGCCCCCTCATGTGCCCCCTCATGCGCCCCCTCATGTGCCCCCTCATGTGCCCCCTCATGTGCCCCCTCATGTGCCCCCTCATGTGCCCCCTCATGTGCCCCCTCATGTGCTCCCTCATGTGCCCCCTCATGTGCCCCCTCATGTGCCCCCTCATGTGCTCCCTCATGCGCCCCCTCATGTGCCCCCTCATGTGCTCCCTCATGTGCCCCCTCATGTGCCCCCTCATGTGCCCCCTCATGTGCCCCCTCATGTGCTCCCTCATGTGCCCCCTCATGTGCCCCCTCATGTGCTCCCTCATGCGCCCCCTCATGTGCCCCCTCATGTGCTCCCTCATGTGCCCCCTCATGTGCCCCCTCATGTGCCCCCTCATGTGCCCCCTCATGTGCCCCCTCATGTGCCCCCTCATGTGCCCCCTCATGTGCCCCCTCATGTGCCCCCTCATGTGCTCCCTCATGCGCCCCCTCATGTGCCCCCTCATGCGCCCCCTCATGTGCCCCCTCATGTGCCCCCTCATGTGCCCCCTCATGTGCCCCCTCATGTGCCCCCTCATGTGCCCCCTCATGCGCCCCCTCATGTGCCCCCTCATGTGCCCCCTCATGCGCCCCCTCATGTGCCCCCTCATGTGCCCCCTCATGTGCCCCCTCATGTGCCCCCTCATGTGCCCCCTCATGTGCTCCCTCATGTGCCCCCTCATGTGCCCCCTCATGTGCCCCCTCATGTGCCCCCTCATGTGCTCCCTCATGCGCCCCCTCATGTGCCCCCTCATGTGCTCCCTCATGTGCCCCCTCATGTGCTCCCTCATGCGCCCCCTCATGTGCCCCCTCATGTGCTCCCTCATGTGCCCCCTCATGTGCCCCCTCATGTGCCCCCTCATGTGCCCCCTCATGTGCCCCCTCATGTGCCCCCTCATGTGCCCCCTCATGTGCCCCCTCATGTGCCCCCTCATGTGCCCCCTCATGCGCCCCCTCATGTGCTCCCTCATGTGCCCCCTCATGTGCCCCCTCATGTGCCCCCTCATGTGCCCCCTCATGTGCCCCCTCATGTGCCCCCTCATGTGCCCCCTCATGTGCCCCCTCATGTGCCCCCTCATGTGCCCCCTCATGTGCCCCCTCATGCGCCCCCTCATGTGCCCCCTCATGTGCCCCCTCATGTGCCCCCTCATGCGCCCCCTCATGTGCCCCCTCATGTGCTCCCTCATGTGCCCCCTCATGTGCCCCCTCATGTGCCCCCTCATGTGCCCCCTCATGTGCCCCCTCATGTGCCCCCTCATGTGCCCCCTCATGTGCCCCCTCATGTGCCCCCTCATGCGCCCCCTCATGTGCCCCCTCATGCGCCCCCTCATGTGCCCCCTCATGTGCCCCCTCATGTGCCCCCTCATGTGCCCCCTCATGTGCTCCCTCATGCGCCCCCTCATGTGCCCCCTCATGCGCCCCCTCATGTGCCCCCTCATGTGCCCCCTCATGTGCCCCCTCATGTGCCCCCTCATGTGCCCCCTCATGTGCCCCCTCATGTGCTCCCTCATGTGCCCCCTCATGTGCCCCCTCATGTGCCCCCTCATGTGCTCCCTCATGCGCCCCCTCATGTGCCCCCTCATGTGCTCCCTCATGTGCCCCCTCATGTGCCCCCTCATGTGCCCCCTCATGTGCCCCCTCATGTGCTCCCTCATGTGCCCCCTCATGTGCCCCCTCATGTGCCCCCTCATGTGCCCCCTCATGTGCTCCCTCATGCGCCCCCTCATGCGCCCCCTCATGTGCTCCCTCATGCGCCCCCTCATGTGCCCCCTCATGCGCCCCTCAGCAGCTTCCTGAAGCGGTGCGGCAGCTTGTGTGTGGTGGGAACATATGGTGGGTGAGGTGAGGCGAGGCAGCGGACACTGCACGTGCGACGAGGCTGCTGTGAGGCCCAGGGAGCACCGGGGAGCAGCGGGGAGGGGCAGGGAGGGGCAGGGAGGGGCAGGGAGGGGCAGGGAGGGGCAGGGAGGGGCAGGGAGGGGCAGGGAGGGGCAGGGAGGGGCAGGGAGGGGCAGGGAGGGGCAGGGAGGGGCAGGGAGGGGCAGGGAGGGGCAGGGAGGGGCAAGCAGCAGGGGAAGGGCAGCGGAGGGGCAGGAGTAGCAAGAGCGAGGGGGACGGTGGTGACATGCGACGGGGCGGGGCAGAGGGGGGAGCGATGGAGCGGGCAATGCGGGCAGGGCAGACGCGAATCCGACATGCTAGGCTCGAATCAAAGCGGCAATTTCTCCAGTTCGCCGGATTGAGAACTCAATTCCTAAGAGGGCTACTACGAGGGCTGCGAGGGCTGCGAGGGCTTCGAGGGTTCGGAGCAACGGCGGGGCAGCGCGAAGCGGCGGCACGCACCCGGTCGTCGATGGAGAACCATTTGGTGAAGTAGACGCGCGCGTTGAGCGGCTGCTTGGAGAGGATCGTGTACGCCACCAGCATGCCCGCCAGCACCGCCACGTTTATCGCGCACGAATACCCCAGCTCGCCGAACGTGCTCCCCATCGCGACGCTTTATTCGATTATAAAAATAACGAGTAAATTATTAGTTGGTATATGGGCCGCTTGTAACGAGTTGAATTCTAAGTCGAGGACTCAAGGTGAGTACTGCGGCTCGGCGAACGTGCTGGTCATCGTGATGCCTGCACGCCGCGCCTTCTAGTGATTAGGGTCCAGCGCGCGTGCGCGGAGAGCTATAAATAGCGCATGCTGCGGGAGCTTCTATGTCGGCCTCCCGCGAAGAGCGGAGGTAACACCAGGGTGAGCTGTGTGTTGAAACCAACTGGCATGTGCTTCAGCTGCGGGAGGCGTGCGAGAGGCAACGCTTGAAGGGTGCGAGACCCTGGGAAGGAGTCGGGGCTACGGACGGTGTGTGTCACTCAAGTCAAGTGGCAACTTGGCAAGCTCGCATTGTTGCAGCGTGGAAGGGAAGGAAGCGCCTTGGGCCACCGTTCGTTACAAGCGTGTACTCTCCTTCCCACACCAAGCCAAACCTCTCCTTTGTCCCTTGATTCTTGAACTCTGCTTCGGCTCCAATCAGCTGCAAGATCCGTTCGGATACGCGGTTTCAAGTGAGTATCACTGTTATGAGTTGTACTAAACAGAGTGCGCGGAAGACTTCTATAAAGAGAATGTGATTACAGAATCACAGAATGAAGATTGAATGAACAAGGCGAGCGTTTATAGGGCGAATACGTGCTAGGCGAGAACCTCGTGACGTGCGAGGGTTGGATGTGTCGCGATTGGTGTGGGGCGGCTCGGAATTGGTTCACTGCGAAAGTGTAGGCCGTGCCATCCTAACGCGAAGTGCTCGGGCTGTCCTCGCTAGGAGCAGCCTCTACAGTAATGAATGTATATTCATTACACTCTCCCACCTTCTAAATTGTTGGGAATAATAAGTCTTAAAGCGCCTCTGTCGTGTCGAAACTCAGGACACTAGCGAAGCACTCCGAATCGAAGCATCGCGAGTCAACCCTCGGAGGTTAGGGTAACCGCCTGGAGGTTACGCGAAGGTCAAAGGTCAGCGACCTTTGACTTGACAAATGCAGCGCGACAGCAAGGACACACAACTGACTCGACATTGAGCAGTTGCCCGAGTCGCACTGTATCGAATCGCAACAGTAAAACAGTTTAAACCTATCTATTCGTATTCCTTGTACTCTTACATAAACCTTTGTATGTGCTTGCTTTAATCAACTTACTTTGCCCTCACATACTAGCGCAAGGTGGTTCAAGTACTTTTCATTTCAACGCTTCCGCTATTACAATCCTACTCAGACTTTAAACTCTACAAAGATCCTGGGGCACCTCAGCCCAACATGGTATGAGAGCAGTTAGAGTCTAAAGTTATTTTTCCTTTAACACTCAAATACAATAAGACATGTCTACTGGGAAGGAGAGGAGCTCCTCCAACGGTTCTCCAGGCACTACTCCTACTCCACCTCCTGTCTCTGGTCTACAGACAGAGGAAGGGACTACTACGAGACCAGCAGCTGGGTCCACGGAAACACCCGCAGGCTTCGATCCAAGCATGATGGAGAAGTTCTTCTCCTTCATGTCCTTATACGAGCAGCACCAGCAAGGAGCGCCTGCGCAGTCAAACAACAGCAACAACAACAACGTGACTCCTATGAGTCTCGACGGCTCATCCTACGCACGCGGAATTCAACAACAACAACAACAGCAGCCTACCTTTGCGCCGTACGAGCCCCAGCGTGGCTCCGTCAGCTTCATGCCGGAACCGCAATCTGCACCGGGACAAGAAAGGGGATTGGACGCATTACAAGTTCAATCGCAATTCGCGCATGTCCTAAAGCTGCAAACGACAAAGCCCTTTGACGGCAAAGACTTCTTTACCTGGTCGTTCGAGTTCGAGCTTATGATGGAAGGAGCACAGATTCTCGGCTTCTTCGACGGGTCCCTGCCATATCCAACAAACGGGACGCAACATGAGAAGCAGCAATATACTTATCAATCGATGATGGCGTACACGATACTGCTGAGGAACATCACCCCGACCCAGCAGCAGAACATCAGGACTTACCGAGGCTACGGCAACTCCGCGGAGCTCGCGTACAACCACCTGAAGAACCTGTATCAAGCAACAGACAGCGTAAATCAAAGCAGGTTAATGGCGCAACTGACAACGATTGAAATGAAACCAGGCGAGAAAGGCATGGCTTATATCACCCGCTGTCGCGAACTGCGCGACAAGCTTCTTCGATGCGGAGGGTCGATTTCAGAAGACGCCTTTGTCACGGTGGTCATCGGCGGTCTCGGCCCCCACTGGCGCTCCACTCGCGCCATATTACGAGCACACGGGAGGATTTCCGAAGCGGCACTCTGCGCCGAAATTCATGCTGAGCAGGAGGACATGGACCTGCAAGAAGAAAGACACAAGAAGAAAGCATTAGCACCAGAGTTTGCGTTTCATTCTCAACGACGATACAACGGCAACAACAATCGACAACAGCAACAAGTGAAGACGGTACCTCCGTTCTGCCACATCTGCAAGACTTCGGGCCATCCCCGCACACACTGCCCGTCTCGTCAGCAGTCGACGACACCACATCGACAACTCCGGCCTTCAAGCTCCCAAGTTACTTCAACGCAAGCAAATCCGACGACCACAATCCAAGCTTCAACAACTTCAACTGGACAACCTGCACAAGGAACAAGAAGCATCGTCAACTGCATGGTGAAGATAACCGATTCTTGCACAATCGAGTCACCACCCCACTACTCACCAGAAGAAGAGCTCGACAACAGGACGCCTCGCCGCGAGTCACTCCAGCCGAATCCGACGTACGCCGCCATCGCTCAAAGGGAACCGTCCGGCCAAGACACTTGGTTCTTGGACAGTTGCTGCGGACAACATATGTGCTCCTCCGGGCGTTTCGTTCAACGCGAACATCGACTCCAGCGAGAAGTAGTCATCACGGTCGCCAACAATCAGAACCTGCACACACGACGACAAGGAGTGGTACAGCTTCAGTCACGAGAGACAAATGTCATATTACACATGTTAAAGGTACTTATCGCGGAGGGACTCGGCTATAACCTACTAAGTGTTAGCCAGTTGATGGCAAAAGGGATCCACTTGGAAGCCGACAGCACCACCCAGGAGTTTAAGTTATACCACGGGAAGGGCGGCCTTTACATCGGAAAGGCGGTGTTGAAGAACAACGACTTCGTTTTTGATTTCGTCCCCGACCTGGGCACTGCAGACAGCGACGCCATCGTCAACTTCACCGACTGGACACATCCCCCGGATCTCGATCCCGACTTCAGCCCGGGAGGCTTCTGGTACTCGCACACCATCCCTGAGGCAGAACGAACACGAGCATTAGCAACGATTCAACAATCGGCAGCAGCAGAGACAACATCGGCAGCAGCAGAGACAACGACGGCAGCAGCAGAGACAACATCGGCAGCAGCAGAGACAACGACGGCAGCAGCACAGACATCGTCGGCAGCAGCAGGACCAACGACACCAGTCATCGTCGACGAAGCACCACCGACACCCGCACAACAGCTGAACCCGACTCAACGAGAAGTCCACCGAAGCGCAAACCTCGTCGCCAACTTCTACTCCAACTCCGACACGTACCAACGCTCACCCGGACATCGCGCTCCTGAAGACATCTGGCACGCACGCACAGGACATCCAAGCAACACAGTGTTAAATAACACAATATGAGCAGGAGTCCTAGACAAAGACTCGCTACTACTACCCGACGGCAGAGAACTTCAACGGGCACGAGGGACTTGCCACATCTGCCCCGAAGCCGACTTACCACATCGACCGTTTTCTTCTCACCACAACCCGAGCGCACCTGCATACGCACCACTCGAGAAATTATACAGCGACATCCTCTTCAATCGAGAACCTGGACAAGTTACCTACAATTACACGATAACCTTCATCGACGCCGCCACTCGATACGTCTGGCATCGAAACCTACCCAGCCGCGACATGGCACTCGCAGCGTTCGCCGCTTGGCTACCGGTAGCAGAGAGAGAATCGGGAACACAGCTGAAAAGCTTCCAGTCAGATGGAGGAGGCGAATACACCTCTTAGCGCTTCAAGCAGTACTTGGCGGAAAGGGGAATCAAGCAACTCCTCTCCCTTCCCTACGCCCATCAGCAGCAAGGTGTTGCAGAAAGAATGAACAGGACTCTGCAGAACAGCATGCGCAAACTGCTACGTGGCATGCGGCTACCCAACCACCAGTGGCCAGCACCAATGGACCATGCTGTCATGCTGCACAACTTGCTGTCGTCGTCGTCACTCCCGAACAACGCATCACCGCATCTGCTGTGGACAGGGAAGCTGGGCAGCACAAGAATGTTACGA